GCCTTAAGGGCGGAGTCGGATCCGTTGGTAATGAGGAGTCCCTCCGCCTTCGCGTTTTTGAGCGCCAACTCCACGATTTCACGGTTCTCAGGGGTCATGTCGTACAGGTCGGTGGCCGAATAGTCTTTATGGAATTCCATGAGAAAGGACAAACCATTGGCCGAGAAAGGGGGATCTCTTCCGTGGTAGACGTCGATGATGCCCTCATCTGATTTCTCCAGGAGCACGGCCTTTGGCTGGACCGAAACGGCTACCGTTCTACGGGGGTTCTCGCCCTGCTTAGGGCGCCACGCCCTTGGAGGCTTGATGCTGGCCGTCCTTGTTGTAGAGGGGACAATCAGTGGCAACAATGGCCCGTCTGTAGTCGCTATCTTCTTCTGGCGCTTGGAACTTTCGGCCTGGGTCGTCTGTATCCTGGCCTGCTAGACCTGCCTCGGCATCCTTCTCAGCTGGGTTTTGTCAATGGTTCGGCCCTACCCCCAGGTCGCGCATGGTACCAACGGTCGTCCCGCATGACCGGCGGTCTGAAAGTCTTTACTGGCCTAGGGGGGGTCTCGTCTCCGTGGCCCGCCGAGGTACTGGGGTCTGTGCCCCCAGTCGGTCGAAAACAGCCCTGCTGGCATGCCGACGATCGTTCTGACCACCGAATTTCTTCGCGATCGATTGAGATGGCTCGGCGGCCTTTCTCTTGTTCTCCTGTAGCCTGGGCTGACCGACCTCACACCTGCATTGCTCACACAGCACTGGCTCTGATTCGGCCGACGGTTCCTTTTCCTTCGCCGGCCGACGAATTTCCCCACATTCAGCTCGGAGTTGGGCGTCGACCATGTTGATGACAGGCGAAGGGAATGGCTTGGAGTCAACCTGCATGGCCGCCTTCTCTGGGAACTGGAGCTTCTTTTCGTCTATCAACTTCTGGATGACGTCTCGTAGGACAACGCAGTTGTTGGTGTTGTGGGACCAAGAACTGTGGTATTTGCAAAACGTCTTCCCTTTGAGCTCGTCGGGCTTCGGAATTGTATGGCCGAACGACAACTTGACCTTTTTCTGGGCCAATAGCAGGTCAAAGATAGCTTCGGCCCTTGTTAAGTCAAAAGTGTAGGCCTTCGTTTCCCGAGTTGCAAACTTGGCGTCGGGAATTTTTGTACGGCTATTGTCGGCCTTGATAAGTCCTTTGCAGACGAATGGTTTGTCTATGCTGACTTCTGCTGAACTCATCTCAACCTCGTCGCTCTCGGCCTCCGCGGAGCCGTCTGCTTCGGCGTAGCTGACAATGGGATTCCTGTAGTAAGTCCCTTTTGAAGCCGTCTTCTTCTGTATCTCCTCCTTCAACAAGGATGCGTACCTGTCCACCTTGTTGATCAAGTTATGCATATCTCGGAATTCGATCCCCTGGAATTTTTTCAGGTACTCGAACTCCAACCCCTCTTTGGCCATCTTGACGAATTCCCTCTCTGAAAGGTTCGTGCGGCACCAGTTCCTGCATGTTTTGAACCGCTGCAAGTAGTCGCGAGGTGATTCGTTTGACGCCTGGCTCATCCTTGCTAGCTTGACGACCGTTATTTCTCGGTTGGTCTGATAGAAATGTTCGTGGAATATTCTTTCCATATCAGACCAATCTCTTACCGAATTCGGCGGAAGGTTTATGAACCATGAGAACGCCGCGCCGGTCAGGGAGTGAACAAATAAACGGAGCTTCTGTGCGTCTGAATCGGCCTCTCCACACTGGGCCGTGAAACGGCCTATGTGTTCAATGGAGGCGGTCTGCCCATCCCCGGAGAACAGCATGAATTCTGGCAATCGATAGTTCCGGGGAAGAGGGGTTCGGTCAATTTCCGGCGGGTACGGCTTTGTATCCCTTAGCGCCTCCGGTCGCCTCTGAGAGAGGCCGTCCTCAATCATTCGCCGGACATCTTCGAATCGGAGCCCTTGAGGGGGTGCTTCTTGTTGGGCCGCATACAGCCGCGGGACCTGCTGCACATCGTTTTGCGGCCTTATCTGCTGGGTCATCTGAATAAGGTGCGCAGATCTCACGGCCTGGGGTTCCGGGGCGAGGGGATGTGCGTTAACACATGGCTTCCTGCTTTTGGATGCGGTGCGGTTGTGCGCGGGCGTGCCAGCACGGTCTACCGTGCGTCGAGATGTTGATGTGGATAGAATGGTCAAGTGGTGCGCCTGTTTGAACTCGTCTTCTAATCAAACGACTGTAGCCGAGAGAGGAACTGATCTTGGCTGCAAGGTTCACGGCCTGAGCTACAAGGCCGTTTAGGGGTGATGCTGATGGTGGGTTTTGGGCAGTGCTCCGGCGCGCTGCTCAGTGAGCGGCGGTCATATGATATATTGGGTGAATAAATGAGTAACAGAGATGGTGCTCCGGCGCCTTGAAAATCAAGGGTCGTATGATATATTGATGAATGGATTCTGCTTACAATCTAACACTACTCCTAGGAAAGCAAGTAAAGATATTGAAAGTGCATTACAGGAAAATATAATTTGCTCCGTGGGAGGCTTTTGTTTGGTGTTTGAACCCTGTGAATGTAGCTTGAGCATTGTATTTATAGGAAGAGTTCCTGGAGGAGTAATCGGGGCTGAAATCCTGCATAGTGGAGTCTGATTAGAGCAAGTGGGTAGTCCAATCGACATTTGGGATCGTGAAGTATGGTGGTGTGACCCCATAAATCCTGGTGAATCTCGACCCCGCCCTGATCGTGGGTTCTGCGCCTCTGGCCATGGGGACGCATTTATTGTTCTGATAGCTGGTCACCCAATCTCTCAAGCTGTAAGAATTCTTGTGAGAATGTCTGCGTCTAATCACTCTGATTCTTGTCACCAAATCCTGACTTCAATCACTTCCCACCTTCCCTCGTGCATTAAATGCTTATTCGTAGTCAGTGGGTTTGCTACCATAAATAGAGGCATTGTTCCATTAAATGAAGCGTGGGACCCTGCTGCCACTTGATGATCTGATCTTTTAATACCATTGGCCGTGATTTTGTTCGGCCTCGACCTCGGCCTATTATCGAGGCCGAGATGATCGTGCCTTAGCAACTTTTCTTTTGTCTTCAGGAGGGCCAAATATCTTGGCAAAACGCTTCGTTTGAGCAAATGCCAGGGCCGAGAAAAGGGGCTCCTTCGGTCAGTTCATGGCCGCGATTTATTAGGCACAAACAACGTTTTCTACGTTCTCTCAACCTCGCCACCTAACGCAAATCTCAGGTGTTTTCTGGGAATGAAAACAAACGACGAGCCACCAAACAGGCCCTAAGATTCTGCAAATATCTACCTCTCAGTATGAAGACAACTAGAAAGTCAATTGGAGTTCAAATATCTACTAAAAAGGAGCTGCCATAACAGAGACGTTTGGATATCACTAAGGATGTTGATAATGCTAATAAAAACCTTCAACACGGAGAAAAAGCGACCGGGCAAAAGAGGTTCTATTTCTGTTGAATGAATAAATAGTAATTTCCTACACGATCCCATCTATTATCCATTAATTCATATTTTCCTTCACAAAAGACTTTGAAACAGAACCTAAACTTTCAAACTCACTTCACAATGCTCTCCTAATCGCCTACCATCTAAAAGAGAACAAAAAACATGTAGAACTTTACAAATTGGACTGGTCATAGCAGGTCACTTCCTCTATATACAAGAGTATTCAGCAAGAGATTGTAATGCATCTTTACATCGGATAACCAAAATCTTGATACCCCATTGAACCCCCTTGATCAGGCAAATGACCCTGCGGCTGTTGCAATGGAGGCTGTTGCGCCGGAACACCAGGTGGAGGAATCCAATTTCGATCAGCAGGGACAGCTACCGAGTTACTTTCTACAGTGGTTATGTCGTGAATGCTTGATCTTTTCCTTTCCTTTTTCACTGAGCTTTGGCGAAGAAAATACTTCTGGGCATGGCTAGCCACTTGGGTTGGTGTTCTTGTCACAACAACATTCCTCGAAATGCTCCTCCAGTCGCCCTTACCAAACTTTTTTAGTCCAATTAAAAATAACCTGTTAGAATACAAAAAGAAAATCAGGTGAACATTGGAATTAAACTGGCTAGTAGAAATGTAATTTTGGATCAGTATCTCCCAACATAACTGCATCATCTATAAATCTGTAGTAGCAACACAACATATTTCTCATTCAGGGAAAGTAAAATATGTAGATAATATAAGTAATAATTGCACCATCAACACCCAAAACAAATATAAGATTATCATGAGAATAAAACCACAGATTTAAGGATTGTCAGTATCGATGACCTATCAATGAAAAATGATTCAATTATGTAAACCTTACAGATTACTGAATAAGTTAGCACTCAAATGCCAGAAGAACATCATATTGAAACTCTTTTGTGTCTCTAAAGTCAACAATGGTAACTTTACAAGCATTTATTTTTCCATAATTCTCTGGTTCACAAGGATTATTTAAAAAACAACAAAGTGACTTCAACAGTTTACAAGCATAGCTTGTATGAAGCACGAAATTCAGTTACTTGAAATCCCCAAATGAAGAGTTCCATTGCTATCTGGTCTTCTATATGTCCTCTTGAAATGATTTTAGACCGAACACAGAACAGCAGTTGCATCCTCATTCCAATTTTAGCAACAAAATCACATTCTAAATAGGGACTTGCCAGCTCAATCATATGTGATTAATGAACTTTACCTTCTGTTCAGTTTGGCAAAAACTTTTTCATGAACCCAACAAACTCAAATTTTGAAACAGCAATGTAGAGACTCTACCGCAATACTACTTTGAATATTAAAACAATAAAGATTTGAGACATTTGAAATAAACCCACTGCTACAAGTCTGATAGATATTTTTTTAGGCTATTTTTGACTTAGAAATTTTAATTACAATAAAAAAAAAAAAGAAGCAGAAGAATTCCTGCCTCAAATTTTCAACTCCCAAAAGAGGTGTGGACTATGAAAATCAGAAACAAAGAAATACAAATCATTCAAAGAATTTGTACACTTTGGAGAAGCAAAAAACAACAAATCCAGCAAAACCCAAATTAGGTACCTTCATTTTATTCGTTTGTTTTCTAAAATCAAATGACCAAGAAAACCAGAATATTGTCTTTCTCTGGTTGAATTGTTCAATTAAACGAACCATAAAGTAAAACCCAATTGCTAAATTTCTTCCCAGAATTAAAAATAAAAAATTAAACGAAGGTAGAAATTAAGAAATTACTTGTGTTCTTGTTCAGTCCAAGGAGTCCCCTTCTTCCTCTCGGGCTCGCCATGCTTATTGAGCTTGGACCCGAAAGAGATCTGACTAGCCGTATCCCAACCGACCACCGAGTCATCAGCGTAACTTGGCAACTCGACTCGGCCCGAGTCAATCTCCAACACATCGTGAACCAAAGTTTCGTAGTGCTCCAGAACCTCCTCGGGAGTCTTTCCCGGAACCTCCTCGGCGATCCTCTCCCACCGATCGGGCAAGTCCTCGGAGAACCTGACCAGCGCCTGCTCAAAGAGCTTGTCCTCGAACCGAGTCCACGGAGCCGACGCCGACTGAGCCATACTCGACCAACACGGCGCCGTTTCTTGGAACATTTGTGGTTTTTGGGTTTTCTATTTTTCTTTTTCTTTTTTCTATTTGTTCTGTTTTGGTTTTGGTTTAGGAGGAAGACTGATGAGACGGGGTTTCTTGGAGATTTCGCATGTAAGGGTTTGGTGGGAGATTTGGAGAGGTTGTGTTTTTATAGAGGACGGAGGAGAGAGAGAGAGAGAGAGGTTTTGGATTGTGAAGGCCGCGATATTTTTATAATTTTTGGGTGCTGAGAGAGAGAGAGAGTCTAAAGACCAACTCAGACTTCGAAATCAACACGTTTTTTCCCTTATTGGTATTTTACTATTTGTTTCATGTCGTTTCGAGCTGTACTAGTGCCAAATGTATGCGGCTATTTTCTGCTTCTTTTCCTCTCTTTTTTCTTTTCTTTTTTTTTTTTTAAAAAGGAATTTACGTTAATAGAAAATTGCTTCTGAGGTCGATTAATAGAAATTCATTTGGCCAGGCCAATGAAAAAGGGTATTGATTTCATACAAATAATCTCATGTTCGAATCACATGACACTTTTAGTCAATGATGAATCTATGTTATAGCCCATATGGAATTTTTTCAACTTTAAAAAAATGTGATGTAGTATTTACACACTACCAAAAATAAATAAAAAATAAGCTGATAATATCGATAATAAATGAATAATTATTTATTTTTAATTCTTTAAAGACTCGAAGGGTGCAACTTAAATAGTTTTATTTTGTATTTGCATTGCATGTTTATTTATTATTTTCCTTTTTTACTAGCTTCTATCTTATGTATTAGATGAAGTTTGAGGGGTATATGGCTCATTATCTCCTCCTTAACTAGGTGTATCATTTTTTGTTATCAATAAAATTCGCTCATGTGAGTTTCTTTTTAAGGCAGTCTAGTCCATTTTAAAATCCTTTAGTAGTGTATTTGTGAGAAATCACTTCTTTTTGTATTTTAGGCTATCGCGTATATTAAAAGAAAATAGAAATTCCTTTGAAAATCCAAGCTAAAGATTTTTATTTTTTTTTCATCCATAGTCCACATGTATGTATTTAGGTCCCTAAATAAATATTTTTTCGAATCCTTAAAGATCGTAAATATTTTTTTTTGCTTAAAATCATAAACCTTTATTGATAAAAGAGAATCATATTTATAGTAAGAGTGATTTTATTTGAACACCACAATCGGCTCTCTTGACCCCACACTGATTTTAAACATAAATAACCTATTTTATCCTTGTATATAAATACCATTAAGAACAAAATTTGCTCACTACACTCCACATACATTCTTGCAACCCTAGTCAGACTTATTTGTCAAACCATCATGTTCCTACAACCTTAACAAGGTTTATACGCTTATATTTGTGAAAACATATCTAGTATTTATTCATGAAGGATGAGACTGAAGTTAGAGAGGCTTCGAATGAGGTATGAGTTAATTTTTTTGGAGTTTTTCGAGTGTTGAGTTGCATGGTAATCGCTACTTACGTTTGGCAGACCAATACCAAATGCAATAGGAAAATTCAGTGGCCTTCTATTGAAACATTGATCCTATTTGGTTGTATGTGATCGACCATTAACTTAGGATACAATGGATTTCCTGCTAATGGGCTCGGTATCGTATGACCAAATGTACCAAGTGTGTGTGGATGAGTTTAAACAACTTTCGAGAGTAGAGAATGTAGCTACTATGAATACAGTGATCATAATGACTGAAGAAAATGCACCTACTACGGATACGTTGGCCCTTAATACTGAAGAGATTATAAATTTATGACACTTGAGATACTTATTCTTTTTGTATAGTCCAAAGTTGATATTGAAGATGTATCTTTTCCTTTAAAATAAAGCCCATTTTCTTATGCTTTCCTACTTTTATAAAGCCCATTTGCTACTTTAAAAAAGAAGAAGCAATTAGACCATAAAAAATGAATAAATCCTTATTGATTTGGTGGAACAACATCGACAAACAATACCAAAATTTGGTACAAAGCTACTGAAACTGAATGCATCATTATAATTCGGTGGAATACCAACAAAAAATTCTCAAAACACCCAAAGTACCAGGAGTTCTAATACAAACATGCAAAAATTTCTCAAAACAACCAAAGTACCATGAGTTCTAATACAACCATGCTGACAATTTAGTTATCCGTGACGATGTTGATATGTCATGGTAGAGATGGCTCAGTAGGTTTGACATCTACCTCAACATTAGTATCATGAGTAGCAGCTACATTCTGAACCTCTGTAGTATCCTCAAAGTAGTATGGGGGACCATGCTGGGGTTGGTCCTCTTTAGAGGCTAACCTCATCACTCTATGTCTCCTGGTTGAGGCTATGGGAAGCTCTTTATCAGGTCAAGATGATGCAGCCTCAGTAGTACCTCTACGAGTCTTCTTCATATATGAAAAAAATATTAAGTAAAAACTCAGTAACGAATTCGATAGACTACCACTGAAAACACAAACAATTTCAATGGTAACCCACCGAAAGTTAAGGCTATTTTGGTAAGACTAGGCTCAAACCCATACATACATTTTCAACAAAATCACAACCATGAATACATCTCTATACTCTAAAACATATCCAATTTCTGAAATATCACTCATAAACATAACATTACAAAAGGCTTACCTGCGTTCTTCATGACCTTGGATTGGTGGCGTCGTTCTTCACGACCTTGGAGTACAAAGCTTGGCATTTCGAAGGTGATGTGTTGCAAAAGCTGCCGCCTTTCGATGTAGTGTCGTTTGCGATGGGGTTTAGGGATACACACGAGTTTGTAGATCTGCGTGGGTTAATTGATGGGGTGTAAAAAAAAAGTGTGTGATGTGTTTAGGTCAGTGAGGGTAATTTAGGAAGAAATAATAGGTGTATAGAGTAATTTTAAATTTCACTAAAATGTTATGGGGTGTAAAGTGTATGTGGGGTCAAAAGAGAAGATTGTGGGGTTCAAATAAAATCATCCTTATAGTAAACCAGAGAAAAAAAATATTTTTTATATTTGTTTGTGCCTAATAAACCACGGCCAAGAACTGACCGAAGGAGCCCCTTTTCTAGGCCCTAACACTCGCTCGTGAGGCTAAAACGAGGCATTTCGCCAAGATGTCTGGCCTTCCTAAAAAGCAAAGGAAAAGTTGTGAAGGCATGATCATCTCGGCCTTGACTATAGGCCG